GCGGCAGCGACGACGGCAGCAGCGGCAGCAGCGGCGTTCGTCGGCACAACTGGCGTTTGAAACAACGCTGCGAGATGCAGAATTTCGATCCGTCACACGCAAGATTTCATTATGTGTTTCAATATTCGCAAACACGTGAATGTTATATAAAATTCATACATGAATAAAAAAAAACACCATATTTGGTTGGTCAAGGTAGTTCTTCGAGCCTAATAACATTTCTTGAATTTATACAATTTCCAGATCAAGCTAACTGTACGCCGATTATTTATCAGTCTTGAAACACGGTCCTAAACCGAAGTTGCAGTAATATCACAAATTAAATTGACAAGCAATTTAATATTATTGCCTCAATTTAATTTGTAATATTACTGCTCCAGCTTCGATTTAGGACTGTTTGTTGTTCAAGACCGACAAATAATCGCGGCACATAGTTTGAACTGGAAACTATAAATTCACAAGAAATATTATTAGGCACGAAGAACCTCTTTGATCATCATTTTTACTCATGTATGCTTAATCTCATCGGTTGATTTTCCGTTAATGTTTATTTAAATTGTTTATGTAAAATTTCGGGAAGTTACGTAACTGAGCGATGGGGGGCTTGGGATCGCACAGAGAGAGCGAGAGAGAGAGAGAGAGAGAGAGAGAGAGAGAGAGAGAGAGAGAGAGAGTATGTAAAGCATGATACTTTACAGGGATTAGTGAGCCACTCCTGCAAAGCTTTCTGAAGCCTCCTGACGTGGAGTGGCTTGCTTGCCATGCCCACCAGTGCCATGATCTCCAGGAACTCCTCTTCGCCCGCGTCGCACAGCTGTTGCACGTCATCGCCTCCTGTAATGCGATGTCATGCGATATATTAGCGAGTCACTCTCGCGAGAACTACGAGGTGTCATTCGCTAAGCGAATTCCCTTTAAACTGAATAAATTCTAATTTCGAGTTGTTTTTCTTCTTATCAGGACAAATCAGAGTTCGTATTTAGAATTTTTTAATTTTGAGCGATTTAAAATGAACTTCTTGAAAACTAAATTTCAGTCAAACAAAAATTGATTATATATAAAATCATATTCTGCAGTTCAAGTAAATTTCAACGAGTTGCAATAAAGAACGATTTTCTATTATTAAAAAAAATCAATTCGAAATTGGCCAAAACATCTACAAAGTTCACGGGGAAAAAATACGTCAAAAAATATTCTCAGGAATTTTTAAAACTGCAAAAAACGCAACAAGCGATCTTAATTTCTGAAAAATCAATATTTTATGTCTACTAGATTGGTACAGCAGAAAAAATATACAACCTGATAAAATAAATACTCCAGCCGGAGAGTAATGCTTTTGAAGTATCTGAAGATTAATTAGTTTTTGTAATAATATTTTACAATAACAATTTAATATCTTTTTTCTGTACGATCTCCACAAAAGATTGTAGGGATCTAGGTTTAGAGCTGTACGTTTATAAGGACTAGAACCGCGTATCAAGATATCTCCTACATTGAAAGATTTTCCCGGGATCTAGAAATACGTATTGTACTTGTACCAGACAATCAAATTAGAAACTGAGATTGAGATTGGATTGGAATTTAATCAATCAGAAGAAAGAAAACCAATATCAAGTTTAATGAACTAATTTGTTTTAATTGTCAAATTCCAATCCAATTTCAAACTTAATCTCTTGTCTAAAACTAATATTACGTACATATTGTACAATAATTTTTTCAAGTATGTCGATTGGCTATAGAGATCCGAGAATTTTCTTATAGGCAATTAGCATACTTAAAAAATTTTTCGTATGACAAATATAATATTAGCCTGATACGAGTATTAAGATATTTCTTGGATCGAAATAGTTCCCTGGGATCTAAAGCACGTTAAAATATCTTTCAATCAACGTACATAAATACATTTTCGCTTGTATGCTTACCCATCTCGAGAAGTGTGTCGTAGTATCCCAGCAGGGAGGCACGCTGCATCACTCTGTACAGCTGCAACTCGGCCTCGTTCTGCGGCACGGACGTCTGCACCACTGAAAATCGCACATCGCATTCGTTAAAGTGATTCATTAAGGGAGGTTGCCGCAATTAGCGATAAAGGATCGCTTCCAACCGATCGGCGATTTTTGGTTTTTTATTACCGACAATAGTGTAATAATCAGCCACGGTAAGCTGCCGTCTACCTCTTTCTTACCCACTCCGTTCACGATTTCGACAATCAATTACATCGTAATTAGACAGATACAAGGACCGTTAATATTCCACGGACGATTGAATTGAGCCTAAAGCCGTAATCACACTACAGGTTTCCGGTTACAGCTGCCGGTTGATAATTTTATAATATCTTAGCCAATCACATTACAGTTAGTCCATATTCGTTACATCGTAATTGGCTGAAATAGTACCAACAACTGGTAATCGTAACCGGTAATTATAGTGTGATTATAGTTTAAGGGGATGCTGGAGTGACCAAATTATCACATTACAGTCGTATAAAAATCTTCGAATTGACTGAACGAAATAAAAAATCCTTTTATAGAATTAAAGTAGACGCAAAATTAGGAGGTGGTGTAGTGGACCTTGTACTAAAATCGAAAAAAAGTTAACAAATTTTTAACATTCTTTTGATTTTAGTATGAAATCCACTGCACCACCTCCTTTTGCGCCTTTTACTTTATAAGGATATTATTCCGTTCAATCAATTCGAAAATTTTTATACGACTGTAATGTGATAATTTGGTCACTCCAGCATCCCCTTAAGGGCGACGCAAATATCACACGTTATTCATACGTGCATCAAACGCGTGAGGATTTGATAACATTGCAATGTGATCCTGATTCGGTTTCTTTATGATAACGCGTATCTCGAAGTCTAACATAAAGTAATACAAAATAAAACTAGGGTGTAAAACAATACACTAGCGAAGAAAGAAGCCAAGAACTGTTACAATTTCTCTGATATTTATTAATCACTATCCCTATGGATACTTTTTCAGCAAACAGATAAAAATGTCCGATTTCTCTATTATTTAATTTTTCCAAGATAAATTCGTTCGGAAATATGTCTAAATATTATTTACAGTTCTTAAGACGCTTAAAAAAAATTAACATCAAATTATAATATCTTTCTAAGATGCTTAAAAATTCTAGACAATATATCTTAAAGTTAAAGTTATCGGAGCTTGGTTCCCTTTTGTTAAGATTTATCCTGCTTTCTAAAATTCGATTTTTATTCTGGATTCAAAATGGCTGAACCAATATGGCGGTCGGAAATCTTTAAAATTCCTCGATTTTAATGAAATGTTCTATTAACCGGTTAAGTGGTAGGCTTTTTAAAACATTCCGTGCCAAAAGTGGTAGGCGTCAATTGTGAACTAAAATATACCAAAATTTGGCCCTGGGGGTCGTGACATGTTCACCAGCTAACTGCGGGGGTAAAACGTAATTGCAATATATATACAAAAATCGCCATTTTCATTCAACGTATTAGTCGCCATGTTGTGTTCGCCATCAAATTTTACAAATTTGACGCCAAAATCGAGTTCAGAAGCCCAAAAAACAATAGTATACCAAATTTCAAGCAAATTCGTTGAATAATATAGAAGTTATTCAAGATGTGCATATATGCTACAATACCACTTTTGGCACGGATTCTTTTTGTGCATATATGCTACAATACCACTTAACCGGTTAAAGAGTC